GAGAGAGAGAGAGAGATTCACTTCTTCAATATTACTTGGGCTTCAAAGGAGCAACACTTGTTTGCTGCATAGAAAACCCAGAAAAATTGTCCCAATCAACTGTCTGTGGGCAATTCTATGGGGCTGGAAAGATGTCGAGGATGTGCCAGTATCCTTAGGGATTGAGTGTCAGGCCCTAGTAGACAATCAAAAGCTTAAACCACCAGTTCACCCAGGCCTATTTTGACGAACCAAAGAATACATTTTGCCGAGCCTGAAAGTGGCCGGTACCATCCCTTGGCAAATTGTGGGCGGTACTGCCACCGGCCTTCCTGCGAACTGAAGTGCTGGACCTGCCATGAGCAACTGGAGCAAAAAGAAGGCTTTATGTCCTTCACGGAGATTGTTTTCACTCATGCACTACCCAGCCAGAGCTCGGATCCATGAAAGCACATCAACAAAATTCAAAAATAGAAGAAAGAAAGAACCAGGGACCCGTCAGTTCAATGATGATATCTCAAGGCCATTGCCTTTTCCATAAGAGAAAAAGAAAAAAAAAGAGAAAAAGCGACGGACACAATGGATACTATCATGACATGGCAGTGGGCCTTGCTGCAGTACTCACCAAATGTTGACAGTGAGAATGAATCTTCCTCTAGAACATGGAAAGATACACCGCCATATTTTTGTCTTTTTTGCATGTGGAGAGTAGTGGAGGGCAGCCTTCTATAGAGCAGAAAAGACGGGGTGCCATCATCCAAAATCAGGGCGCACTTTCTTGGGGGGGAAAAAAAAATCAGGACGCACTGACATCCACAGTTACGGTTTGGTGGATGAACTGGACCGCAAACGCGTCCAGAGCCGAGTCACCGAGTCCAAGTGTGAGTATGCCCTTAGTCTTCCAGCCTGCCTCCACCACTCACCACAAGGGAACAGGCTGGGAAGAATCAGTGGCGGGAAACGATTGTGACAATGACAACAGGGGTCAGCAGAGTGGTGTTGGCGATGGCCAGTCTGGTGATGGCGAGTCTGTATGAGCGGCGGACGGGCGGTGCCACATGGCTTATTACAGTCCAAGTGAGCAGCGCGGTGACGAAGTTGCAATCGGCAGCGGCCGAAAGGATGGTGCCGTCGCTTTCGTGGATCCGGGATGTGCAGCGAAGCCTGATGGAGGTCACATCGGGATTGGAGAAGGGGCCTCCCCCCCATCTGCAATTATGCATGGATCAGCCACGATTGCAAGATTTGATGCGGTGCTACTACACGGAGCTTGAGGAGGGGCAAGTTCTTTGTGGTACGTTGGAAGACCGGTGTTATGAAGATGACGACGAATTTGAGGATGACGTACATGACATCGGCTCCGTTGCTGACAACGCCACCAAAACCGACAGAAACGATGACAATGATCTTGCCTACACCAACAGCAACAGCAACAACAACAACAACAACAACAACAACAACAACAACAACAATAACAACAATGACAACGACTGGCCTGCAGAAACGACGCTCACATACACACAGGCTATTAATATACACAACAACAACTGCGCTGGCAGCGATGTGACTGTGCACGGCAGTTGCAGGGAAGGTGGGACTTCGAGTTCGTGCGCATCGGGGAGCAATATTGACCACACTAGCAACGACAAACATATCAACGCTGCCAGTGACCGCAACAGCAACAACAGGACTAACAATGACGATATGCACGGTGTGGCAAGTGCGATTGGGGATTCTCTTCCCCCCCTCCCCCCTTTCCTTCCCTTCTTGGTTCCCTTTTGTTCGTTCGATCTTGATTGAGGGGATGGGGCAGCGGGTTGGCCGAATGGGGTGATTGGCAATCAGGATGGTTGTGTGGGGGAGCGAGGAGAGAGATGGTGGCGTGAAGGGGTAGGCTAGCGAATGCTAGATAGTAATATGGGATGTGGCCACATGGTTTGGCCACGTGGCAACAGGGTAGCCATGCTTCGGTTATGGGCTTGCTCATCTATTTGCCACGTGTAATTGATGATCTTAATTTGACACATGTAACTGGCGATCCCGAGATGTATGAATTCTGTTAATATGGCTGTCACGTGGAAACTGTCATTTCAGTTTTTAAAACTTTCGTTATAAATTCGCCACATGGAAGCGAAGGCGGAACAGTGGCGCTATGCATTTCACTGCTGTTCTGCGATATGGGTTACAATGATGAATCTAGAGCTCTGGGATTCGCCACAATTGATTATCTACTTCCCTACTCTGACTACCCCTTCCCCTCATGGCGCTGTAAGGTCTTTTTGGAATATTACGAGGGTTTCTGAATAGGGATAAGTTTTTAGATTGTGATGGGCAGTTAATCCCCTCGGTTGAGGGCAATCAATGCTGCTCATTAGATTAAATAGTGCGTGCCTACGGGTTGGCTGAATCAACTGCTCAGGACTATACTAGGTTAAACACGTGGCATGTTATATGACATACGGCTGTCTGCAGGGACACTGGACCCGCTTTCCAGCAGGTGTTGCTCCCCACCAATAGATGGAGCCTCCCCGAGCATGCTAGAGGTGCCTGCTCTTATCAGCACCCCTAGCATTCACTTGGGTTGTTTCTCTAAAAAAAAAAAAAAAAAAAAGACCCTGTTGGAAAAGGAAAAAAAGAAAAAAAAGAAACTGCAGTGCTTCATCTTGCCATGTTCTGGCCGAATATACATTATCTGATGATTATCAACTTGCATTGGTGAGTGGTGGAGCGAGAGCCTTTGCCACACTTCCTTGCGATTGTTTTCGTCCTTTTTTTTAATTATTCCTTTTGTCTTTTTCTGCACTGTTGCTCTTTTTCCGGCGTGACAGCTGCAACGGGATACGTTTTTTTTTTTTTTCCCCTCGTCTTTTTCTGCAATGTTGCTCTTTTTCCGGCGTGACAGCTGCTCTTTTTCTGTTGCCTTGTACGAGTGCGAGGATTTGGGTCCTCGGCAGGCCTAAGGGGCCCCGGTTGCAGTAGTGCCCGCCCTAAGTGAAGGCGGGCCTAACATATCACAAGAGGCCTTTGACTGTCAATTTCATATTTGGGGTACAGGCAGTTGCTACGCGCCAGTTGGTTGAGAGAAAACACAGGCCGAGCAACCAAGACATTTCCACGGCCTTCTGGGCCTTTCCGAAGAATGCAGGCCCTGGGCGAGAAACGCAGCCTCATACACTGACAGTTGGGAGGCCCAACCGAAAGAGGCCCAGTAGCTGCAAAATAGCACGCAGCACCCTGGGGCCTACCGGAAGCTCCTGGGCCCAGGCCCAGTCCAGCCAGGCTGCGAAGCAGGCACGCTCTTTCCTATATGGAAAGAGCTCGCCACTGTCAGCCTCATTCAGGCACTCGCATGCTAGCGGCAGCGCTGCTGGAGCAAAGGCTCGTGGGCTACTGCTGGCGCTGAGAGGCGAGGTGCAGCATGTGCGGTCGTGCAGGGAAGAAGGGCGCTGCTGAGGGCAGCGCCATAGCCCAGTCTCCATAGCTGGCAGGGCTTGGATGTACAGTGAGGCACAGGGGTGGTCTTCGGGTGTACAACAAGGAAGAAGTGGGAGAGAGTCAGGGGAAAGAGAGAAGGATGATGATGATGATGATGTGAGGGCACATACCTGGTATTGACAATGGTTCTGCACAGGCGACATCTTCAAGTACTTCGGGTGCTGCTGACGTCAACAGTTGCATTGTCAATTAGTAGGCTAGCAGTAGCTGTGTAGGGAGTAGGCTGGGCGCCGAGCGCCAGATAGGGAGATAGAGGCTGGATACATACGTTGGTGGTGGCGAGAGCAAGCTCTCACTGACATTGGATTTCAGTGCTACTATTCTCCATTGGTGTTATATTGGTGCAATGCTACTTTCTGAACACTGTGTTACGATTTGGCTTTCAATGTGATTGTGCAATCTGAATATTGTCATCTCGCTTCTGTTCATTTTCCTTGCACGAGTGTTTTCTTTTCGTAATTTTTTTTTTTTTTTTTTTTT